ACGGCTCAGGGCATCTGCGACGCGGTTCAAACTCCCTGCTTGGTGCCTCAGCGTAAAAGTGAATTCTTGCAAGTATGCTACCCACTTGGCATGACGTCTACTCAGCTTGTGTTGGCCATTGATGTACTTCAAGGCCTCATGATCGGTAACAGAATAACTCCTTCTGTACTAGGTAGTGACGCCAATGCTTCAGGGACTGAACTATGGCATAGAACTCCAGATCATAAGTGGAATAATTTTTCTTTGATCCCGATAGCTTCTCACTGAAAAAAGCAACCGGACGACCTGCCTGACTCAGAACCACCAATGCCAACGCCAGATGCATCACAATTTACCTCGAACACTTTGTCAAAATCTGGAAGTGCCAAAACTGGAGCCTCGGTCATCTTCTGCTTGACCAGTTGAAAACTGGCCTCTGCCCTCCTCAGACCACTGGAAATCACGCCCCTTGAGGCACTCTGTGATAGGGGCGATCAGAGTACTGAAATTTCTAATGAATCGACGGTAAAAAGACGCCAAGCCATGGAAACTTCGGATGTCATGTAAGGTTCTTGGTCTGGGCACTCCAAGACTGCATCTATTTTTGACTGATCTGCATGAACACCATCAGTAGACACAACAAAACCAAGAAAAGTCACAGAAGTAGGAAGAAAGAACACTTCTTTTGATTGACAAACAAGCACTCCGTTTCAGCATCTCAAAAACAGCACGGAGGTGATCGAAGTGTGAAGTCATGTCGGACTATAAACGAGGATATCATCGAAGTAAACTACAACAATTTCCCCATAAAAGGCCGCAAGACCTGATGCATAAATCTCATGAATGTACTGGGCGCATTGGATAACCCAAAAGGCATGACCATCCACTCATACAACCCTTGTGGCGTTTTAAACGCCGTCTTCCACTCATCTCCAGGCCTTATTCTGATTTGGTGGTAGCCGCTCTTAAGGTCAATTTTGAGAAGATCTTAGAACCAGATAGCTGATCCAACATATCATCTAGACGGGGAATTGGAAACCGGTACTTCACTGTAATTCTGTTGATCGCTCGGCGTCAACACACTACGCCAAGAACCATCTTTCTTGGCACTAACAGAGCAGGGACTGCACATGGGCTCATACTCTCTCGGATATAGCCCCTCTCCAACAACTCTTCCACCTGTCGCTGCAACTCTTCGGCCTCCTTGGGACTGAGGCGATATGCTGGTCGATTTGGCAAACTTGACCCAGGAACAAGGTCAATTTGATGCTGAATATCCCTCATAGGTGGTAGTCCAGGAGGAAGATCCTCTGGCATCAAGTTAGAGAATTCTGCTAGCAACGCTGCACCTCTACTGGTAAATCTGTATCCACGTCTACTGCATTGTTCTCGCAAGGTAGCAAGGCATAGACCACGTCGCCATGCTCAATCTCATCTAAAAACCTGGACATAGAAAGCAGATTAGTATTATGGGTTACTGGGGTAGGAGTAAGTCCTTCCCGCCGGGGTGCCAACACAATCTTTTTTCCCTTGATGCTAAGGGAATATGTATTCTTCCGTCCATCATGAATGACACTGCGATCATACTGCCAAGGTCGACCCAACAATATGACACGCATCCATAGACACAACATCACACCAGGCATTATCAAATATTTTCTACCAATTGAAAAAGACACCAGGCATCGCCTATCAACTGTTACCTCACTGTCTTTATTTAGCCATGACAACTTGTATGGCTTAGGATGACGGTCCGTCTTCAACTGCAATTTCTGGACAACCTCCTCGGACACTACATTCTCACAACTGCCGCTGTCAATGATCATTTTGCAGACTTTATCTGCAACTGTGCAAGTCGTGTGGAAAATTGGTTCTCAACCAATCGTCCCCTGAATCGCCCTTGGGGTAAGTAGACTCTTGCGAAACGACCAGAGTCTCATGACCATCTCCATACAGCACATCATCAGTCTCATCATCGTCATACACGGGTTCGCCAATCTCCTCAGTCTCGTCTTCCACGTTTTCCTCAATCAACAAATTTTTGCCCTTTTGACTAGCAGGCTTCCTGCAATCAGTCGCCCTATGCCCTTGTTCACCACAACGAAAACATCTAATAGTAGGGTTAGAATTACCCTGCGGTGGCTGCTGAGCAGGACGGGACTCTTGAGGGCGAACTGGTCGACTGTTGTGATCGCTCCTGATCACTGGTCTCCTGTTTTGCTGTTTTTCAACAGCAAGTGCACGCTGGTATGCTTCTGAAACACTCCACAATGAATGAAGGCTGAGGACATCTTGCAAGGGCTGGCGTAAACCCCCCAAATATCGCGCCACCATCTGCTCCTCCGTCTCAGATAATCGTTCCGGGCGACCAATTGGTAAAACTCCTCCGTGTAATCATCGACTGATCGCGCGCCCTGCCTCAACGCATGAAGTCGCTGAAATAAGGTTTGCGTGTAGCCGAAGGGAAGGAAGTGGCCCTTCATCTTCTTTTCATCTTCTCCCAATCAGTGATCTGGCTTTGCCCTGTCTTTCTCGTGAACGTCGTAACTGTTCCCACCACGCAGATGCTCTGCCCTTGAGTTGATGGCGATCAGTTTCACTTTCACACGATCGGGGACTTCCTTATATTCAAAAATACGCTCCACTTCATTAATCCAATCCACGAATCCCTCGGCCTGTAATGTACCAGAAAACTCAGGGAGATCGACCCGAAAACCGAGGTCTCCATGACGCTCTCCCGACCACGGTGCTCCCGGAATCCTGCGCCCCGGAATCCTGCGCGATTGTGATATGGGTTTTCGAAAGTGGAATTTGTATCGTGATCAGAGGCCTCACGATCCTCTAAATCCTGCGCCGCTAGGCGCTGGGTTAATTCTGCGACTTGCCTCTGCAAATCCGCAATCATCACATCCTGAACGCTGCGATCACGGCGTTGGGCTTCCTCATTCGGAACCTGCTCACGACGACCACGACCACGACCTCCAGCCATTGAAACTGGTGAAATTTCCCAAGAAGATGTTGAAGCTCTGATACCAACTGACGCCAGACAGAATAGTGATTATCCTGTAGGCTAGCTCCGACAGACGATTCACAAGAGAAAATTCGCCCAAAACCAGAGAAAAAGTCTCTAGGGTTTAATAAATATTATAAAATCAATAACTGTCTCAAAAACAGTCCACAAGCCGGACTGTTATAGCTAAAAAAATCGTCTTTATTCGAATTTTGCCAAAAATAGCAAAAATCGTATTTTTCGAATTTTGCCAAAATAGCAAAATCCCGAAAATCACTCTAAATCGAAATTCGAAATAAAATAAGCAATCTCCCAAAATCCGGTCTAAATCGGATTTAAATTGACTTCCTAATTAACAATCGAAATATTACCATAAATAGTAAAAAATAACTAAATCTAGTGATTCGGAGGGGAAAACGGCAGAATTTGAGGTTGAAAAAAAGGCCACATGGAGCGTAGCTCAATGTGGAGAGCGTGCGCGTCGAAAAGAGCTTTCCGGATTGGGGTTTATGCGCGATTCTGACACCTGTAGCCAAAGTTATGGCCAAAAGACGAAACATACTCAAAACGACCCCAATAAGGAACATGTCACAATCAATTCCCGCCTTTGCGCTGATCTGCCAACTCATGGTATCTCAGCGCCATCAACGTGCAATCTGACAGCTCAGCATCATCTGTCTCAGATCCCCCTGCATCATTTATTGACAAAATGAATTTCAGAAGGTTAAACAAGATTTGTTCCTTGTAGAAGTATACCTGATAATATATTAATCACTTTGGAGGTTGTCACTCAGTGTGAAAAAAGAAAGGGAAGAAGGGATATGTGGCTATAAAAGATTTGGAAAAAAACTGTGATTGATTGAAATGGTCTTACATTGATGATACGTTATGGGATATTGGTTGTTCGAGGGGGACCCGTTAACTTATTATGAGTTGTATCTCCATAGTTTCAACCCAAATTATTTGGTTTGAAGCCTTAACAGACACCTTTCTAGCATGAATTGCCTTGCACAAGCGCTACAGTCGCTGTGGATGATGGCTCCTGAAAGCTCATAAAACTATCGAGAAATTTCCTTGCTCTATACCATTTATTTTTCGTAGATGATTTTGTATTATTTGCGGAAGCGATTTTGTCACAAATGGATGTGATTCAACGAATGCTGACATATTTTTGTAATAGCTTCTAACATAAAGTGAGCCTCATAAAGACCAATATTGCTTTTCGGATAATGCAGAAGAGCACCTAAGAGAAGAAATCAGTGGAAGCTTTCAATTCACGTGTGTGAATGAGCTAGGAAAAAATTTGGGAGTAACGTTTCTCCACAAAAGAGACACATGCAACGTACATCTATTTAATCAATCAAGTAAAGAAAAGGTTAGCGGGTTGGAAGGCGAAAACTATATCCTAGCTGAGCGGATATATAGTTATGGCCAAAAGCATGCTAACTGCGCTCCCAACATATTCAATGCAAACAACTCATTTGCCCAATGAGATTGAGAAACTCATTCAACTTTATCTGAAAAACTTTGAAGAAAAGAGAGGAGTCTACCTTGTCCGTTGAGAGGACGTGAGCAAACCTTTGAAAGTAGGAGGTTTAGGAATTCAAAGACTACAATCCAAAAATGCGACGTTTATGTTGAAATTAGCATATCGGGTGATTTTATGTTGAGAATAGCTCTGGACCAAAGTGTTACCTGCTAAGTATGGGGTTGTAAACCTGCACCGATCTCAATTTCAAAGATAGATAGCTCTCGAGTTTGGAAAGGCTTAATGATATCTGGGATGAAATTTGAGTAGGATTGTTATGGAATATGGGAAGCGGGAACACAACAGACTTCTAGAATGATCGCTGGCTGGAAAACAACGACAGCTTGAGATGATCGTACATACATAGCAGATTCGAGTGCAAACAAAGGATGGTGAGTGGTTAAGGCGTGTGAGTGCAAACAAAGTGATGGTGAGTGGTTAAGGCGTGTGCCTGTTAAGTGTATAGGAAGGGGGCTTTCTTACCTGTAACCCCATTCGTTGTCATACCAGAAAACGAGTTTCACCAAGTTCCCGTACAGAGCAATACCGGCTTTGGCATCGAATATGCTCGACCAGCATCAGCGTTCGATTTCAGGAAATTTTCAAAATTTATATAAATAAAATCAGAAGCAACTAGAAGTCGTTACATGAAACTTGCCTGCTGTCACCAATGACAATGAAATCTGTGGAGACATCTTCTTCAATGTAACCCAAAATTCCCTTAAGCTTGTCTACAATTATAATAAGACTTACTTGACAGCAGCTTTGATCTCATCATATGGTGCGGACTTCTCGAGCTTTTCGGTGAGGTCCACGACAGATACATCAACAGTTGAAACTCGGGTGGATATTCCGGTTAGTTTCCCATTGAGGGCAGGAAGAACCTTTCCAACAGCCAACATATTCACAAGTATCGTCGAGTACATATATAAGAACCTCAACATTAAAAATCTTTACTTATTTCCAAGCTAACCACAAATACCGCAAAATAAGGACTAAATCCAATCAGGTTTGAAAATATACCTAGGCAGCATCGGTGCTGCTGGGAATGATGTTGAAGGAAGCAGCTCTACCACCTCTCCTGTCCTTCATTGATGGTCCATCAACATTCTTTTTCGTAGCTGTAAATAAAAAAAAAGCTTAAATATAAAGAAGTACCTAAACTATAGAGTTTTTCACGAATATGTGCCTAAACTATTTTCTGAATGATTTTGGTGTCTATCGTTACAAACATTACCACTTTAGGCATCCGATCCGTCAATGGCGTTAATTTTCTCCGTTAAGTGAGACGTGTCACAATCTAGTGTTTTTGAATTTTTTTTAAACATTAAAAATATGAGTATATTTATAATAAAAAAAGCTCAATTCTTAGTCATACCCCGTCGTAATTGCCGTCGGTTGGCCTCATAATCGCGTGGGATCATGATTTTCATCATAGGGTTCACGGGTATAAAACGTCAATTCGTCGTCGATCGGTCACGATTTTATAAGGGTTTTGGTCGCCAAGGGAGGTGAGATCAGGTGGAGCTTCGTCAACGGCAAAGGGCGGCAGTCGACGTGGGCAAGAGTTGAAAAGAAGGTTTTCAAAATTTTGGAATTATTTCAAATTTTCTGTATTTTTTAAAATATATATATATTAATTTTTTAATTTTAAATAATTTTTTAAATTAATAGATCGTGGCATGTATCAATTAACAGAAAAAAATTAATACCGCTAATGGTCTGTGGCCGAAATGATTCCAAAAAGTAATTTAACTATCTATTTGTCAAAAATGTTATCGTTTAAACACTTATTTTGTATTTAAGAAAAAAGAATCTCTAACAGTTGGATGATTATTTATATAATTACCCTAAATAAAAATATAAATATAAATAGATAAACAATATTGATATAATACAAGAGATAAGTCAAACGGAAATGCTACCGGAAATGCTTACCTATTGCAAATGCAACCATTTCCGCTAACCACATCTTCCAGTGTATTCCAAGGCATAGATGCATGAATTGCAAGCCGAATAAATAGAACGGCAGCCCCACTTGGCAAATGGTCGTGGCTACCCACTCATCTTTCTCGTGGTCACAACTCTCGTCTAAGGATAGATTATGGAGTAATATGGACAGTAGCATTTCTATTTTTTTTTAAAACAAAATTGTTGATAATTTGTTATATTCTCTAATATAATTTTATATAAATTTATATTCTTAACCTAAAATCCTAAATCTGTTACTAAACATCATTATATTTATAATCGTATTCTATAAATTATAAACTAAATATTTTTTTAAAAAGGCATCAAAATATACATTGAAAAAAAAATATAATTTGACTGTAAAGGTCGGCGGCTGTAAATTGCTTACTACTTTTCCTCACGGCCCATGTGAGGGTTTCGTGTTTAGGAAAAGAAGGAAAAACGAGTTTGTTCAAAATTCTAAAAGCTGTGTCCCAGACGCGTCAAACTTGGAAATATAATCCGTATATATATATGGAATAGGTGTTTTGTTGGGAAGTTGCCTTTGACGTGTAATTGCTTCCCTTTTAAAAAGTTTCTTGGAGAAGGGGTCATTCCCTCCCTTGCGTTTTGCTCGCTCTGTCTTATATCTCTCTCTTCGTTTCATCCGTAATCATGGCTTCTGCAAACAGATGGCTCAGACCTGAGGTATTCTTTTCACTTCTCTTTCTTAATTCATCCTTTGTTGTGATCTTTAAAGACGATATATTCATTTTATGTTTAACTTCTTGTTCGTTTAGAACAGATCTACGCGTTGGGGTAAAAACAAAACTATGAAAATGTTAGGTACATTAGGAACAATTATACTTTGGTATTCTTTATGTTATGATCTGTAAATCTCGTATCATAGACTGTGTCTTTATACATTCATGCTGATATATGAATCTGAGGCCTGAACTTGGATCTTATCTTGTTTCATCAAATTAGCATTGAATCTATAAAAGTTTGTGTTTGACACAATAGGTTTATTGTTTCTCTAATTCTTTTATTTTCTTTCTCCATACCATCATTGACTGTGTCTTTTTGCTTAATCTAAAAAAAATTGAACCATTTAAAACAGCCTCCTTACTCAGATCATCAACAACACTCGTATAGTATTCATGTTTGAATATTTGTCTAATGCCAACGTATTTAGAACTCTGTTTCATTTACAAATCTTAAAAAACAAATCAATTGCTCATGGTTTTCTTCCCTTCAATTCCTGTTTAGGTGTATCCGCTATTTGCATCGGTGAGTGTCGCCGTTGGCATTTGTGCTATGCAACTTGTGAGGAATATCACCACCAACCCTGAAGTCAGGTATACATTATATATATATATTGAGTAATTTGATTTTACCCAAAGTTAGATTCAGAGTATTCAAAGTTGGATTGCAGAAAATTGAGATAACAAGGCACACGTTTTTGTATCTGACATAGGGTAACCAAAGAAAAGAGGGCTGCTGGAATTCTTGAGAACTTTGAAGAAGGTGAAAAATGCAGAACATGGTCTGAGGAAGTTTATCCGCAAGAGACCACCTCAGATCATGCCATCTGTTAACAACTTCTTCTCTGACCCAAATTAAAGCAATTGCTGAATTCTTCAAACTTTGAGCTGCCTATGGAATTTATTGAATTGGAGAGTAAAATTGTTTTTTCTTTCACATTTTAGAAGACAGGTACAAGACAATTGTATTGTTGGCTGTCAAGGAATATTATTATTGAATAATAAAATAAATAACCAGAGGAGTTTAATATGTACTTACATATGAACCTATGAGATTGAGAAATGAATTGAGAAAATATTTTTTTTATTTGTATCATATTTCACTGTTCGATCCAGGTTTGATTTATTTATATGAACCTATTTGTTTTAAATTAATTCAGTTCGGCTAAAAGCTAATCTTTTAAATGAAAAACTATCATACATATATGCAAGCTGCAAGGAATAACATAAATCGTACCTGATACATCTCGATTTTACTCTATCAAATTTAAAACTTAATTGTTAAAATTTTATGTTCGAAAAACTGTATTTGTAAATTGTGTGTACATTATCAATAATTCAAAAAGGGCTTTGAATAAATATTATTTTATAATTACATATACTATTAAAAAATGATTATTAGAGTTAAAAGCAATGCATTGTGTCCATTTTCATGGTTCATTGACGTTTCTGTATCCTAGCACAAAGGTTTAGAGCAATAATCCCACATTGGCAAGACAGAGACGCCGTGAGCACTAGATCCAATATAAATAACCGAAAGTTAAACCCGTAGCCATGCAATGAGCTCAGAGTGAATTATTCTTTTACCTTTTACTAAAGAATACCGTGTGATTGCTGCACAGATAATGGGATACGCCTGTTTTTGTAGGGATCTTTCTTTTGAAAGTGACCTTAAAATGAAGCTTTTGGTTTGTTCACTTTGGATTCCATATTTTTCCTTTTAGTGTTAATTTCGAACTTTCAATGATGTCTATTTATTTGAAATATATATTTAGTTTTTATAGGAGAGTTATCTTCAACACCAGGATACAGAACCTGAGTTCAATTTAACGAAGTTAATACTTTTCAAAAGTAAAACATGTACACATTGCTGTCATAAGTAAATTATATATTAATTAATTAAAGGATGTCATGTATAAAATGATTAATTAAATATAATATCTCTTTAAAAGAATTACGTTCATATGTATTAATTATAACTTAACATAAATTCATATATGGTGTAGAAATCAATCGCTATATAATAAAACAAAATACTCATCATTAGTCAACCAAAATTAAAACCAACTAATCATAGCTTCACATCTAAAAGGTATCTAAAAATCAACTATAACAAATCAGATACAACTAATTATGGCTTCACGTCTAAATGGTGTCTGAAAATCAATTATAATAAATCAAATACGTAAAGCAATAGGTGAATATGAGAGAAATTAACTAACATACAATCAAAAAATTTACAATAGTATATTGACAAAAAAATTTGATTAAAAAGTTAATCAAGCTATTATATCAAACACACTTGAGCGATCATCTGAGTAACTTTCGGTTAACTTAAAAAAAAGAGGAAATATCATCAACATAAACCTATAAATATCTAGAGATTAAGAAAGTTTTTTTTGAGTGGTTTCTCCGATACAAAGAATATGTAAACATGTCCAGATAACTAATTTTTGAGAAGGTAAGAGAGATGATGGAACTTTTATACCACAATAACTTTTTGAGTCGCACAAATTTTCTAAGATCATATTTTACTAAATTGTCACAATTATATTTGTATTTTATAGAAATATTAATTTATAATGTTGAAGGGGGCATAAATTTATATAGGAGTCTTCCGAAAAAACATTATCTTATTAATTTATCAAAATTATTAAATTTATATAGGAGTCTTCCGAAAAAACATTATCTTATTAATTTATCAAAATTATTAATTTAGATCTTGGGCTAAGTCGAGACCAAAAAAATTATGGCTTAAAGGGTTACTTTTGCCTATATAGTAGACTTAATTTACCATTTTCGTTCCTATAATATTTTCACATCAATTTAACCCTCGAAAGTTGTTTAATTGCATCAATGTTTAAAATATTTACTATTGTTTAGGGTTTTAAGTTGGAGTTTAAAGATTAATGTCTAAGGTTTAGGGTTTAAAGCTTTAAGTTACTTTTAGGGTCTATGTTTAGGATAATATATTTAAACAACTTCGAGGGCTTAAATTGTTGTAAAAATATCATATGGGTAAAAAGATAAATTGAGTCTATTATATAGATAAAAAAATAACTCTTAAATAAAAAATTATTGTTTTAGATAGATTATTACTTTATGGAATTACTATATCTATTTCTTACACAGAATACAGTCAAACTTATATGATGCCACCTGAGTTTTACAACAAAGAATGGTAAGAAAATTGCTCTATTTCACATCTGACCTTGCAGTTGCACCAGTAAACTCTGCATGCTATCTAGTTTCTGTCTTATTTCTTTAATATACAAACGATGATTCTCCTCCGAAAACGATGAATCGGATAATTCAGTGACGAAAGTAGCACACTTGGCCTGTGAACCCAAAACTGCCTCCTCAAGCAAAGCCACAGTTGAGAGCTGGTCTTCATTTATCATTTTTGATAATGGAGACTGTCCCATACTTCCAGCACTGCCTCCTCGTTTGAGCTTTATCCGATGAGAAAATCTTGTGGAAACCCTCAATCCCAATCAAAGCTTCATAGAGGGTTGTGACATTGTAGCAGACAAATTTGTTGTCTTCAGCGACTAGAGACTGATTCTGAAGTGAAAAACTTTGCACACAGCTGGGGTTCGACGCAAGCTGCTAGAAAAATATAAATGTACTGGATGCATCTTGAGTTTTACTTATACGAAATTTTAAAATGTTTATTCGAAGTACTATATATATATATATATATATATATATATATATATATATATATATATATATATATATATATGTATTCAGTGCAATGTCATCTTGGTCCCTTTTTCTTTATTTATTGAAGTTAGTCTGGTTGGCCCGTCTAGCAATAAAGCTGCAGGGCACTAATCCCATATGGACAATAAACAGCACCCCGCATTCCAGAAAAAGTATAAATATCCGCAAATTAAACTCAGAGTAGCACGCAGCCATACAGTGAGCACAAAGCGAACTATTCTTTCGCCTTTACTAAAGAATACCGTGTGCTCTCTGCTCAAAGTGGCATACGCCTATTTTTGGAGGGTTTTTTCTTTGGAATAAGCCCTAAAATCTGAGTTTAAGAGTTTAACTTTTCGATATATATTGGTTTTTCAAGGCCTGTAATTTCAGTAAGAAAATTGAGTTTTTAAGAGATCACTTTTCTCTATTTCTATAGAAACATTGGTTGTTTCTTCAGCATGAGTAGAGTTGTGATCTATGTTTGGTTCTTCCCCAAGAAGAGGACTTGTTTGAGCAATCATGGAAATCAGTTTCG